ACTGAATGTACCATGGACTGCCAGGAAAACAAACAGATTCATCTTGGAAAGGATTAAACCAAGCTACTCCTCTACTCCTTGGAGGCAAGGATTCTGGGGCTTCGTCTGACATACTTTGGACATGTTGCCAGGAGGGAAGGGTCCTTGGAGAGGGACATCATGCTTGCAAGGGTGGAGGGACAGTGCAGGAGGGGAAGACCCTCTATGAGATGGATTGATTCGGTGACTGGGGTAATCGGGATGGGTGTGTCGGAGGCGGTGTGGTTGGCGCAGGATAGAGCAGGGTTTAGGGCTGTTGTGCATAGGGTCGCTATGAGTCGGAAATGACTCGACGGCACATAACAACAACAACAACATGATGATTATCAGTTAAAGAGGACATTGCTAAACTTACAGCACAACTTAAAAGCATAACTTACTACATTTAGCAGTAAGCTCAAACTCAACTGACACTCAGTTGATTTTAACTCATAATGAGTCTCCATTCAATTTTGAAGGCTGTAAATCTTAATAAGAGAAAACTGACCATTTTTTTCCCCCTGTAGATCCAGAGGCGGGCTTGAACCTCCAGAGACATGCTTTCTTTTGGTTACCAAATGCAACGTTCTAGAAACTATACCACCAGAGCTTCTTTTGGGAATAAGTTAGAAGTATTTAATAAACAGTACTTCCATTAATATAAATAGGGTCATGCTGACAAAAATATCCTGGCATATAAATAATGTTTCCTAAGACATCCAGAAACTTGCAATGTGTTAATTCTATATCTAATTTTAAGTGAATACTAATAAATAATATGAGAAGTTAAAATTCAATATTTACTATGAGCTAAGTATAGTTTAAAATATTCTATGTTTATTATTTCATTTTACAGTGACATCTCAGAATGATTGTTGCTGCTGCTGTTGTGTTCTGTTGAGATTGGACTGATTCATAGCTCACCTTCTAGTGAGTTTTAAAAACGGTACACATAACAGGAGAAGACTGTCCAGTTTTCTACTGAGAAGCAGCTGGTGAACTGGAACTGGTGCAACTTTTCACCCACTAGTTTGCCAGAACTCCCTTCTTAGAATGACAGGTATTCATATTGCTCCTCTCTAACACAAATGAAAAGGAAGCTGTTATTGTTAGGTGCTGTCGAGTTGAGTTTGACTCACAGTAAACTTATGAACAAACCTGAACCTTGTCCTATCTTGTGTCATCCTCACCATCGCTGGCATACACTAGCCCACTCCTACACTCTCTGTATCAATCTATCTCATCAGGCAATTTTCTTCCTGTGACCCTCCACCTCTTCTAGCATGATGTTCCTTTCCAAAGAATAGTCTCTCCTCACAAGATGCAAAAAGCATGGGAAACAAAGCTTCTCCATCTTTGCCTCCAGAAAGCACTCTTGCTACACCTTCTTCAAGATATATTTGTTCTTTTGCAGTAAATGAGATATTCAGTACTCTTCTCCAACATCACAACTCAAAGGAATCAATTCTTCTGTCATCCTTATTCCCTATCCAGCTCTCATCTCTGATGGCTAGAGAATGAAAGACCATGGCATAAACCAGGCAAACTTTAGTCTTGGCTTCAGGACTGCTGGCACTGAGAATGACTGTAAGCAAAATGAAATAATTCACAATTTCAATCCTTTCTCCATCTATCATGATGTTGGCTACTGGCCTTGTGATGAGGCCTTTAATTTTCTTGGTGAGGTGTAACACACGTTAAAAGCTGTAATCTCTTATCCTCTGCTGAAAGCATGTCTAGTCCTCCTCACATTCAGTAAAGAAGGTTATGCCATCTACACAACACAGGTTGTTGACGAGTCTTTCTCCAAGTTTGATGCCACAGACTAGCTTCATGAATTATTTGCTAATTATGAAAGTTGAATAGGTACGGGAAAAGGTTATATTCTAACACACAACCTTTCTGATTTTAAACCATGCAGTGTTTCCTTTCTCTGCTTGGACTACAGCTTCTTTGTTTAAGTATAGATTTTGTATAAGCACATTGAAGTGTTCTGGGATTTCCATTCTTCTCAGTGAAATCATAGTTTGTCATGATCCATACACTGAAATGCCTTTGTATAGTTAATAAAACACAGATACACCTTATTCTGGTATTCTTTGCTTTCAGATAGGACCAATCTGACAACAGTATGATGTCCCTTGTGTCACAGCATTTTCTAAATCCTGCTTAAACTCCTGGAAGTTCCCTGCTAGCTCTTTTTTAAGGATCTTCAGCAATATTTTGCTTTTACATGATAGCAATGATATTATTAAATAATTTACATATTCTGTTGGATCCATAATCCTGGAAATGGGAAAAATATGTATCTCTTCCAGACAGTTGGCCAGGTAGCTGTCCTCCAAATTTACTGGCATAGACTAGTGAGCACATCAGGGTTGCAACTGTTAGCTGAAACATATCAACTGGTATCCCATCAATTTCTGGGGTCTTATTTTTTGTTAAAGCCTTCAACACAGTTTGAACCTTTTCTTTTATTAAGATGGCTCTTGTTCATGTCTGGGTACCTAAGATTTACAATTCAGATGTCTTTTCTAGCCAATGATTAACTGTTTATTTTGTGCTGAAATAGTTATTGTATTAAGGAGAGAGGATTAGGCTGGGATTCAAGAACCACCATACCAGGGGTTTATATAGGCTCATGCGACCTCAGCACCACATGTTTTTTTTTCTTTAGAAAAGCTCGCTTACCTGGGATGTAGCTTCTAGCTTCTCACCAGTCTTTATACGACCAGACCAGCCTGCATCACAAACAGTCACCATCTAGCTGTGCCACAAGTGACAAGTCTACAGGATCCTGGCAAACCAGCCAGCAACCTTGGGTCATGTGAGCCATTATCCTGATGGATTAGAGTCTCTGTAAGACCTTCTAGTGAATCTGAACCCAAGGCCCATAAAGGAATTTAGAAAATGAATCACAGATGGAGCTGTTCATATTAGAAATTATGGACACATAAGTTGTTTAAGCATCCTGTACTATGTTGACCTGAGACTTCTCATAAACAGTCTGCTATTAATCTTAGCAGGATGAAATATGGTACTTTCTAAATTTTTTCATTGTAGACTAATTCTTTTTGGTAGTGACTCTGTGTATTCCCCACATCTTATTTTGATGCTTCCTGATCATTCAAGGTTTTGCCAATAGAATTTACAGTATTGCAAATGAAGGTTAGATTAAAAAAAATAAATCTATCAGATTGCAAAATTCTAAGCACATTATTGCCTTTTTATTCTCTGACTCCAGCTCTTTGCACATTTTGTTATACCATTTAGCTTTGTCTTCTCAAGTTATCCTTTGAAATTTTCTATTTAGTTTTTTTACTTCACTATCTCTTCCCTTTGTTTTGATTTTTTGACACTGTAATGCAATTTTCTGTCTCTTTTGACATCCATTTTATTTCTCCTCTGTCTTGTAATGACCTTCCACTCTCTTCACAAATGAAATCCTTGATTTCATCCCACAGCTACTCTGGTCTTCTATCACTGGTGTTCAAAGCCTCAAATTTGTTCTTGAGATGATTTTTAAACCCAGGTGTTAAAGACTCCAGGTTGTATTTTGGTTCTTGTGGTTACTTTGCATCAGCTTTAATGTGAACTTGCACATAAGCAGCTGGTGGTCTGTTCCACAGTCAGAAACTGGCCTGATTTTGACTCCTGATATTGAGTTTCTCCAATGATTCTTTCTGCAGATATAGTCAATCTGATCACTATATAGTCTATTAGATGAGGTCCATGTGTGAAGTTTCCTTTTGGTTTTTTTGGGGGGGAAAAGGTATTTTCTATGAATAATTAATTGAATGTACAAAATTTGATCATTCAAACTCTGGTCATTTCTTCTGTCACCATGACTGTACTTTCTGGCTACTATTTGGTCCAAGATCTACTATTCCAAACACTTCCAACTCTTGGTGCATTAAAGTCACCCAAATCACAGAAAAATTAAGCAAAGTAGTCTGACTCATATTTAACTGCTCTAATAATTGTGTATGATGATATTAACAATGCCTTTTATTCCTTTAAAGCACATCTGACTAGACAATGAAGAATGTTTGTCATGTGACAATTCTGTTACAGATTGAGATTGATCACATACTATTAAAAATGTAATTTTCTAATAAAAAAAGCACGTAAAACAATATAGCTAAAAGAACCTAGGGAATAACTCACATATTACTAGTTGAGAAAGCACTGTTGTTTCTATTTTGAACCAAACATTTCAGACACAAAGTACAAGAGACAGAAAATCAGGCCTCCCCAATTCCTGGTGCGTGCACACGCTCGCGCTCTCTCTCTCTACACACACACACACACACACACACACACACACACACACACACACACACACACACATTGCTGAGCTGGAACCAACTCACGGCTAACCCTGCAGTGGGTTTTCAGAGTCAGTAAATCACACAGGAGGAGAATGTTCTCCTTTCTCCTACAGAGCAGCTGGTGGATTAGAACTGTGTGCCTTTGGGTTGGTAGCGTACCACCAAAACCATCATAGCTTATGGTAGCTTTTAGTGGGGGCATCTCCTCTGAATGGAGCACCTAACAGTAGCATATATTATCCTGAGAATAACCAGATCTTTACTTTCTGCCTTTCCAAGCACTATGTCCTTTTCCAAGGACTGACCCCTCCTAACAACAAGTTCAAACAAAGTATGTATGACAAAGTTTTACCAACCTTACCTAAAAGAAACATCTTCCAAGGAGAGAAATATATAGAAATCATATGTATCATGTAGTCATCAAAAGTAGTATCTATCACACAATGAAATAATGAGTTTATAGAGTAGGAAAATGGAAAATCAGATACGGAGATAGTATTTTTCAGGAGATGTTCTAACTAGTTGTTAATGTGTTCAAATTTATCCCATAACTCTAAGAGATAATATCATATGTTTCTGTTCTCTCTAGTCTTTTCTTAGCACAACCTCTTCTATTCCTTTCTCAGTACCAATGAAACTTCTACGGCTTACTTGGGATAATTCCTCGATTGTATGAAAGGCAGAATTTCAGAATCTTGACTAGATGAAGGTAGTAGTAAATCTCGAAACCGTTCTGTGAAAAGAAAAAGACATCAAGCTATGAAAATATGTCAAGAAAATAATTTCAATACAGAATTATTACTTTATTTTGTTAACCATTTTACTGTTGTTGTTGTTATGTGCCGTCGAGTCATTTGCGACTCATAGCGACCCTATGTACAACAGCCCTAAACCGTGCTCTATCCTGTGCCAATCTCATTGCCCCTGACACACCCATCCTGAGTACCCCAGTCACTGAATCAATCCACCTCATAGAGGGTCTTCCCCTCCTGCGCTGTCCCTCTACTCTACCCAGCATGATGTCCTTCTCCAAAGACCTGTCTCTCCTTGCAACATGTCCAAAGTATGTCAGGCGAAGCCCCAGAATCCTTGCCTCCAAGGAGCAGCCTGGTTTCACCCTCTAGTTCATCTTTATTACAAGTTCACGCATCATTTTCTAGATTTTTTTCTGATTAAAAATATTATTATTTCTACCAATATAAAAATACTAAACATTCATAGTATACAATTATAATTGGAAGGTTAATGAAAATATATATGATTAAGAACAGGCATATAAAGAGATTCACAACTTCATTAGTAACCTGGGAAATATACATTTAAAACTTCAAACCACTATATAGTATTTACATTATGCATCATTTGGATAATAGAAATTAGTCTGACAAAGTCCAATGTTAGAGAAAATGGATCAATATAAGCTCTTACATTCAGCGGGAGGGAATGCAATAGCTTTGGAAAACAATTTAGCATGTTCTTTTACATTTAACCTTCTGAAGACTTTATGGAATAAAATTTCTATTCCAAATTATATATCCTGTATAAGTTCTTATGTGTTTAATTATGCAAGTACAAGGATGTTCATAGCAGCACTGTACATAACAATTGTAAATTTTCAGAAGAACTGACACACTGTGTTTATTCACATACTGAACACTTAAACTAAAATGGAACTGAATGACTTCAGTTATACATATAAACAAAACAATTAAAAAATCCCAGTAAATTACATATGTTGTTATTGTGGTTAATTGCATAGAATCAGAATCAATTCATAACTGACCCTCTAGCAAATTTTAAAAAGCTTATAGCTCATCCCTGAGGAAACTTTCTATCATGATGCAAGAAAAACTGACATCTCTGAAGTGTGGTATTGGAGAGAAAATTAAATAATCTTAGATGGCCAAAGAACAAAGCAATCTGTCTTAGAGAAGGCAAGGTGTTCCTTACAGGCAAGGAAGGTGAAATTTTGCCTCATATGCTTTGGGCAAGTCACCAGGAGGGGTCAGTTATTGGAAAAAGATCCCATGCTAGGAAAGGTAGAAGGTCAGCAAAAGAGAGGAAGGCTCTCAATGAGACAGACATGAGGGCTAAAAGAAGAGGCTTGACCATGTCAGGACATCGTGAGGATGGTGCAGGGTAGGGAAAGGTTCAGTCAACTTTACAGCACCTAACAACAACATCATAATATTAATAAAATAATAAAGGAATGAATAGTTAAATGGCTGAAGGCTATGAAGATTCCAATGATAAGAATAGGCTATAAAGAATAATGCGACTAACCTTTTTTTTTTTTTTTCAAAGGAGACCCATGTATCACTCTCTTACTAACACAATATATGCAGGACTATAAGTTCATTACATTTAGAAGCCAGTCTATGCAAAGGCTTTCTTGATGTCACTCTTTTCTCCCTCTATTTAAATCTAGAATAAATTCTCCTAGTATATATTATGTTTACACTCTCTTGGAAGTTACCATATTATGTTTTTATTGTTATTTGCATTTGTATATGTACCCTTCTCTCCTCGTCCTGTGAATGGATACTGTATTGTCAGAATATTATCTGTTTACTTATTCAGGTGCTAAATATTTATTCTGACAATAGTTCCAGTTTCCATATTTACAAGAAAACTGCTTGCCAAGGTTAACTGAAACAACTCTTAGTACTGAACAACTTACTACTATATGTCAACTTAAAAAACAAGAGGAGACATATTTTGACTTTAAGAGAATCATGGCACGAGGATTAAAAGATGTTCTTTCTGGTTGTAAGAATTCTATCACAAATTGAAGATGAGCAATTTCTACAAAATGCTGGGCATTTCCTTGATGATATTCTTCATATCTCAGTTTCTGAAGAGCTAGATGTTAAAATTCAGGAGCACAAATAATCTGTAGTAAGTTGCTCTGTTACCCCAAAGGTTTTTCTGGCCAAAACAGAAGCTACCAGTTTGAAGTGGCCAGTGGCTCCATAGGAACAAGGACAGGCAGGCTCCTTCTGTGCAATTTGAAAGCTTCAGTACAAGCTCAAATGTGAATCAGAAGCAAGTTGGCAGCAAAGAATTTGAGTCTTTGTATGAGATGTTAAATTATTTGTGAGCTCGCTAGTCACAAAATATATGAAGTAGGATATAGATTTTATTTCTTTTCCTTTTTTTTTTTCTTTATTAAGAGATAGAGAATGAGACCAAGCGCAAAGTGAGCTTGAAACCTCTGTTGGCCTAATGGCAAGAAGCTGTGCTGCAATTTCAAAGGTGCACAGTTTCAACCCACCAGTTGCTCCACAGAAGAAAAGGGCAGTCTCCTTCCATGTGATTAACTGCCTCTGAAAGCCCACTGGAGGGTCAAATATGTATTGCTTCTGACTCAATGGTATATAAGAACAACAAAAATTGCCTTGGAGTTAGAACCAACTCACAGCTGACCCTCAAGCTGTAAACTGCATGGAAGAGACCACTCATCTTTCCCCCACTGAGCCACTGTGGATTCCAACCACCAGAGAAGTGGAGGTGTTCAGATTATAATAACTTCATACAGACTATGTCAACAGAATGCTATTCATATATATTTGTTGTTGATAAGTACTGTCTAGTCAGTAGTTTCCCGAAGTAGTATATAACAAGGGAGGAGACTGTCTATTTTTCTCTCCAGGAGTTTCTGGTGGATTTGAACCAAATGTCTTTGAGTTGGCAGAACAACTCCCTACCACTAAGTCACCAGAGCTCCTCATGTGTGTGTTTGCGTGTGTGTATTTATATGAAATATGTGTATGTAGGAATGTAAATAGATGAATGGTGGTAGAAAGAAACCACAAGAGCGAGCCTATCACAGGGGTGTAGTGGTTTAAACATTCAGCCGCTAATGCAAACATTATGAGTCTGAACTCCACCCACCAGCCATTCTACAGGAGAGAAAGGTGTCAGCATGATTCTGTAAAGCTGATAGCCTTGGACATCCTAGGAGACCATTCTCCGATTTGTTGAAATTTGTGCTTAAGGGTCTCTGTGAGCTGGAATCCTCTCAAAGCGATGGATTTGGTTTTCAAGTATTTCTTTATTTGTTTTCATCACTCTGATAGTTCTTGTACTATCCTCGAGGTGATTCAAAGATAGAGATGACTGCATTCCAGATACCACAGATACAAAAAAACAACCCCAAAACCCACCTATCATTTATTTTTCGTCTTTAATTACCTTTAGCCTTTCATTTGAGCTTATGGCATTTAAAGAAATCATATTATTTACTAGCCTATTATTAACTTTAATCAGCAAGGTGAATATATTTTTCTAACGGGACACTTAGTAAATTCCTCTGGTAATAGAGGACTTTGCTTGTCCTTTTTCTTCCCAAAGTTCATAAATATAACCAAATAGCACAAACTGCAGTTTCTCATTTTATAATTCTTTTTCTCAGTTAAGATAATGTCATTCAAATACATCTTCTTGGATGGATACTCACTGTTAGTAAAAGTATAAAGTTCTACTGAATACATTTGTTTAAGGGAGAACAAAAGTTAGAATTCTTAGTATTATCATTATGTAATGCATCAGTTTCTCAGTAATAATTGTTCCCTTCTTTTATAATTGTGGAGGACATTTGATTTGAAACTGAACAAAAATATTATTTTAAAATTTATTAAAAAAAAACAAACACAACATAAAAAAATTAACTTATAACTTACATGGCTGACCAAACTCAGAAGACATTTATAATTAGTATTCCTATATTTGGAGCACCTTAAGTAAAAAGTGCAATGCCCCAGAGACAGAAAATGCCAAAGTATCATGATTATAAAAATAAGATCCTGAAGACATAATAAGAAAATATGCAGGAATTTTAAATTATGCCTATTAATTTTCCATTATTTATCTTTTATCATGTTAAAAAATATGAATAATCTCACCTTATAAAAATACTTATCATATTTTTCTTTATGGGACTAAGGAATAACTAAAAATGTAAAATTATTTGTAATCTTCATATTAGTTCTTCTTTTGTCTCCTAGATTACTATGTATTTTGTCAACTCAATGTCATGGCAAATCTATGTGTTAAAAATTAAGACTATTCCATAGGTAACATTTTACTGTAATCCTTACTGAGGCAAATTGGGAGGTTGTTCTTCTGTAACACTGATGGTTGGGTTCAAACTGCCAAGCTCTGGCCTGGTAGCTAAGAGCAAACCATTTACACCACATGCATGTTTAAGAAGCATCCCGTCCTTTATCTTATAGTAGGCAAAACACAAAATATATTGATGTGTCCTTTGTTAAGGAACAAGTTATGTTAAAATGCCAACTCCTTTCTGGCAGAAAAACATAAAATCAGATTATATTGAACTTTGTCAGTTGAGAAAGACTTAAATGTAAAGTTTTTAAGCTTGTCAATATTTCTTAAGTAAATGGTCCAGTTACCTAAATACTAGAGCTCAATCTTTTCACAACATTTAGAACAATTTCATTAAAGCTACTGAGAGGGACTCAAGAATTTTCCACACTATAACGTTGTGATGAACTGACTAATGATGTGATAATGTCTGAATATAATTTTATACCATTAAGACATACATCTTAATTAACTGAAGTTTTGTGGATTTTCACCCACTTTTCTTTTTTCTCATGAAATAAATTCTGACACCACCAAATCTAGATGGCACATTGAACACAGTTATATTAATTTAGGTTCTCTGAGCAATCACTGTCAGAGAAGACACTTAATTATCTAAAAATAAAG